ATATATATATGAATAATATTAAGGCCTAATATTTCTAGTAGTCTTACATCTTGTAATATTATTTTTATGAGTCATTCTTGTAATTATTTCAAGCTAATTGCTGACATCTTGATCTTCATGGATGGAAGCCATGTGACTACCTCATCTTTTTTCTATCTTTCAAGCACTCTCCAGAAAAGAGCATTTTGAAAGCGGCCAGCGTGTAATCATATTTCGATTCGCCTTAACTATGCTCAGGTGAAGAAAAGCAGAAGAAAAAACCAGCTAAGAAGAGGCTGCCTTCACCATCGAAAACACCACCAGCTCCAAAACGAAAAGTAGCAAAACTAGGCACACCACGGGCAGGTGCGGCCAGCAGAAAAGAATCAGAGGTACAGTCTTTACAAACCTGCATTTATGAACGACACAATAGGTTGTTTAGAAAGATGCTGGAGACTTGTCCGATGATGAAGACGAGTTTGTCGAAAATTATGAAAACGAAGATCTACTACGGATGGTAAGAGAGTCATTCTTTTCCCTGGGATTTCACTTGATTGGCACACTTTGTTCAGGTAATTCCACCAAGACCTCAGCCTTGCATGAAACCTGATGGATCTGGAGCAAGGCTTGTGATCAGGGAAATCGTAGCTACTAATTTCAAGTCATTCTATGGTACTCAACATATTGGTCCTTTTCACAAGGTATGGTGCTCAACCTCCGCTTTTTATGCTGCTCAAGACTCGTTTTAGAATTTCTCGGCGATTATCGGTCCAAATGGTTCTGGTAAAAGTAATGTCATTGACTCGTTACTATTTGTATTCGGCTACAAGGTTTGCTTTCCTCCTTTCCTTTTTGATGACTTTTTATATCCCTCTGTCTTTCAGGCTTCCAAGATTCGTTCCAAGAAGCTATCTGTCCTCATTCATTCTTCAAGGCAGCATGACGATATCAATAGTTGCACCGTAGAAGTCTTCTTCGAGCAAATCATCGATAAGGTTCCTATTTATCTTGTTCTGCCTATCGGTACATCTCTTGTTCAGGATGGTCATTTCGAAGTTGTGAAAGGCAGTGAGTTCAGCGTCGCAAGAACCGCCTATAAAACAAACAACAGCGTGTATGCTTGGAATGGCAAGGTTAATTTAAACTCTGCCTTTGTCGATCTTCATAGAAGAACCACTGACTTATTTCAGACCATGTCTATAAAAGAGATCGCTGGCCGATTGAGGGATTTCGGAATCGATCTTGTACATAATCGCTTTTTGATCCTTCAAGTTAGTTTTATTTTTGACATTATTGTCTAAGTTTTCGACTTTACAGTACTATCGGAATTTT